ATATTAATTACCTAATTTGCATAATTAACCAATTTTAAGCTTTCACACTGATATCTAAAGTATTAATTTCCATTTTAATGAAACTTAGTACAAAGATGCTCTAGGACAATGTACAAACCTAATTAGTTTGGGGTAAAACTCTGTTCATATTATTTCCCTAATTAGCATAATAATTCATAATTTTTTGGTTCTAATCACATTTCAATTAAACTTGGTACATAGAGTTTTTGTTACATTGCGCAGACCTCATTAGTTTTACAATCAAATCTGTTCATGTTAATTTTCTTGATTTGCATAATTAGTTTTCAGCTAAGTAATTTCAAATTATATTTAATGTGTCTCCAATACTCAATAGCACATGGGAGTTCTTTCTAAGCTTTCTTTGATTAAAAAAATAAATTGGGACCAAAAAACTGCCCAGGGCGACTTTTCAGCAGTTTTTAAGGTGTTATTTTAATCTTTTCTGATGCCTTGCGTGAATGGGTTAGCTTTGTTTCGGACAATGAGTTATCGCTGTCAATAATGTTAAATTATTCTTCAAATGCTCAGTTTATCTTTTGAAAACAACTATTTTTTTTTATTTAAAAACAAATCATGCCGTTTTGCCATCAAAATCCAAGCCAAAAGATCGTACAACAATATGGGCAAATCTCTTCCATGCTGGGTTCAATAACATTAACATATTTAAATGTGTTATGGTAATTTGAACATGTTGGCATCATCCATCGTTTTCATTGGTTAATTATCGATTTGACCTGTCAGGTTAGGTCAAAACATGGCGGGTATTTATTTCTACAGCATCGAGCGTTGAAAATGCGATCGAAATCATTCGCTTACGATGAAATAAGTTGAAATTTATTTGCATTTGATAACAAATCAACGAATTTATTTTTTGCATGTTATTATAATCATTACTAGGTAATAATCAACAATTGTAAAATGCAGCATGACCGGATTGCGATACCACGATCATTTGCTACTAAGCAATGCAGTTGTGTTCATTGTTTTTTTAAACTTCTTTTAGAATATACTTTCGTTACTAATACAATGAAAACAAAATAATTGTATTTGGCGCACAAGGTTTGTTAATGTGATTTTTTGGGAGAATGATGCGTGGTCTACTTATTAATCCAGCTAGAAAAAAATGTATACAATTTTAGTTTCTTTCATTTTGGGTGGTCCAACTGCCGGTGTTGAAAGTCTGCGTAGGTGGATTTTTCAATGAAAATTTGAACCCCAAATAAGGGCCCACCAGCCTTGAAACCACCCAGGGTGATTTTTCGGATGGGCGAATTGACGGCAGAATCCAGTAATAATTAAAATAGAACATAGATTTACATAAAGTTTGCTAAACTTGCTCCTGTACATGACTTGCTGGTTATTTCTGTCAAATGTGGTCAGACTTAGTTATCAGCTTGTGGATTTGTCTAGTAAATGTCAGAATCTTTTCTACAAACTATTACCAGGCATTATACTTTCTAAACACCTATATCTTTTATTGTCAAAACTAAGATCAAAATGTTTTAGGACTTTATTTATTTTAAAAGTGTTGACACAAAATCTAATGTCTCTACAAGGAAATTTAGCACTGAAAAGTGCATGTGCATACATAATACGTGAAATTAAGATGAATGTTTCTCAAAGTACCCAATGAAATTTTCCAAAAATAAAGCTTAGAAGAAACATTTATCATAAT